GAAAATCTTAACGATGATGATATACAAAATGCCCTGGTTACGTTTGGTCCATTATACATTGGTGTTAATGCTGATCGATTATCAAGAAATTATCGTGGTGGTATTGTTGATGATCGATCATGTCCAAAACAAATTAATCATGCTGTAGTATTGGTTGGCTATACACCTGCGGCATGGATTTTAAAAAATACCTGGGGACGATCATGGGGTGAACGTGGTTATTTTCGTTTAGCACGTGGACAAAATATATGTGGTGTTAATACTGAAATTGCCTATCCAATAATTTGAAAAAAGAAATTATCATTTTTTATTTGCAAACATTATCAAAAGATGGCGTTTAAAACAGATAATTATTTAAAAAAAAAAAAAAAATCATAACCCTTTTTTCTATTACACAATTGAAAAAAAACAAGAATTTACAGCGTCGTTTCACTTTGTTTTTCGCAGAGAACAGACGTATAACGGATGATGAAAATGAGTCATCAAATCAATGTTTGAATGCAATCGATTTTTCGAATCAATTTTTTTTTTTTTTTGTTTCAAAGCTTTTTCGCATTGAAAAGGATTATATTCCCAAGGAATTTATTGATTTCGTTTTGCTTTCATATTAAATCTTGAAGATTCGGCGCAAATATATCCGGTGTTTCAAAAACACCGGAAAACAACACCTATCAACAAACAGAAAAAACATCGCCCTTTTTTTGGTCGATAAATTCCAAGACGATGATGATGATGATAAGGGATGTTTTTGCAAATGAAAATTTCAAATTTCAAAATGTACAGTGCGCTTGCGCATTTTTTGGGGGAAAAAAGGGGGAAAAACTTGCAATTCCACTAAATGAATGAATGATGAAAGATAATGGACATTTTTTTTCTGGACCTAGCTCCTTAACCACTACCATCCATAATTCTGTCGATCGATCGATATATATCTTGTTGTCATTCTTATTTGGTTGGTGGTGGTGGTGGTGGTGGTAACAACCCCGAAATCATCAAAAAAAAAAGTTGAATGCGCTTGCGAAACACACATACACACGGACAAAGCATCATTAGTTTGTATCCTACCATCAATTCGCTATATGATGATCAAAAAGATTCAAGAAAAGAAAACAGCCAAGCAATTGTGTGTGTCTACATAGTGAAATTGTCATTCATTTAGCCATTCAGTTGTGTAAAGATTGGTTCTGGTTTTATTTAAAAAAATTATTCATTTTTTTTGTTGTTTTTGGGTTGTTTAGGTTCCAAATGGAACAGTCTGAATCAAATACACACACACACACACACGTTGAGAATATACGAGCCCCATACGAAATAAAGTATTTTTTTTTTTATTGCTAGCCAGGTGTGTAATTAGCTAGTATTTTAATTTGGTTTTTTTGGTCAACACCATCACCTAAAAAAAACAAGCCAAACAAAGAATGATAGTGTTGGCCTTGTATGAACCAAGATTTTGATTAACCTAACAGACTGACTGACAACAACAACAACATTGTGTTTGGTGTCCCTGCATATACTCAACGCATTTTTTTGTTTCGTTCTGGATCTGGATCGGTCAGTCAACAAAAAAAAACATCTGTTCTTCTTTGTCGTCTAAAGAAATTTTGAGTTCTTGTATTTTTCTCTTGCTGTTTTTTTTTCTTCTTCAATAATGTTAATAATGATGACAATAACCAGTGTCGTCGTTGATTAATACTAATGATGATGATGATGATGTTAAAGAAATCATCATTAATATCGATTTATTTTTTTTCATGTAATTTATTGATTGATTGATTTTTTTTCGGTTTGTGGTGATCGATTGATGATTAATAAATAAAAAAAAGGGGCGATGGTCGTGTGTATTTCATCATTTATTGATCTAGTTCTTCAACAAAATAAATTTAGACGATCAAGTTTCAATCGATTTTTTCAAGCTTTTCAAGCTTCAACAACATCTTTATCTTCACTGCCTATCATATCAAATTTTCAACAACAAAAAAATCAAACATCAATAAGAAATGATGATAATGATAATTATCATCAATCGTATTGATAGAGTCAATAATAATTTTCTTTATGTTCGTACTTGAAAACATTAAAATCTTCACTGTGTGTTCTGTTTTGCTTGTGAAATTTCAATTCGATAATGAAAATTTTTTTGTTTGTTTGACCACCATCATCGTTGACCATCATCCATTAGTTTAATGATTTTTCATTAGTTTCTGATTTTCTTTAAAACGGTGATCAACAATGAAATATTTAAAAATGTTTGCCAACAACGTTTTCATCTGGTTTTGTTTTCTATTATCATTATCTTCATTTTTAAATGGTAATCCTTTTTTCTGTTTGTTTTTAAAAACTAATCATTTTGATTGAAATTCTTTCAATAGCCATTCCATATCCACTCGATAATCAACAACAATCAATAGGTATTGGTACTAAACCAAGATTAAAATCATTCAATTTTGAGCCAAATATATTGGATGGACAAACTGTACGTGTATTTTGTCAATTAATTGATGGTAGTCAACCATTATCATTTCAATGGTTAAAAAATGGACAACCATTATCATCGACAACAACATCATCATTGATACAACATTCTTCTTCTTCATTACCATATTATACATCATCATCATTACCATCAACAACATTAACCAATTCAATTGATATACAAACATTTTCTGATTATTCATCATTAGCTATTTATCGTATTGATCGTCAACGTGATTCGGGAAATTATACCTGCCTGGTATCAAATAGTTATGGTTCTGATCAATATAGTTCATTATTGATTGTACAAGGTTTGTTTTTT